TGTTTAACATTGAATACTGAATCGATTTATAGCGATAACTGGAAAATAAATTCAACTTAATTAACAAAATTTTTCGAATAGTTTATAAAAATATCTAAATGTCAAATTTCATTTGATTTGAATGCGATTCAGAGAGTAGCTCAAATAGTTTTCATATACATACTCGTATAAGCAAAAGAATATTTTGACATATCGTATGTCTTAAAGATTCTATTACTATAATTGGATTACTGTGATATAGCGAAAATTTTACAACAATCGTAAATGTTTGGGTTTATAAAATTTATGTAAACATTTTTGTCAGACTATGTCAATTTGATATTGAAATGTTTAATTAATAATAATTAAAATTTTCAGCCAATTTTGACAAATATTATAATTTTTGATTAGCCCGCATAACTATACAAGATTTATGGTAGATTTCTTCAATAAATTTCAATTTAATTTTAAAATTATTTTTGACATTTAATATTTAATTGACGATTTTTGAGAAAGAGATTTCATGTAAGGTTATGTAATTTTTGTTAATAATTTGAATACAAATTTTTTTTATTGTACATTTGAAATGATGATCAGTTCGAGAGTGTGAAAAATTTAATTTTCGATATTCCTAAAAGATTACACATTTAAAATTTTAATATTATTTTTTTTTTAAATTTATTTAATAATAAACATTTATTCACATAGGTATTCATATAAAGGTATCTAGTTTTTTTTTTTTTTTTTTTTGATCTGATATCAATTTGTCAGAGATTTATTACAATGATTCAAAATATATATGTAAATAAATATTAAAATGTTTATGATATGTTGTGATATTTTTGCGCGATATTTTTAAATTTATGTTGAATTGTTGAATATTTTCTTTTAGTTAATATTGAATATTTACAATAGCATCGCCAATAAAAAAATTTTATATAAGCATAACATACATGATATACAATGTTAAGAAGGCATACATGAAGAGTAAAATAAGTTTTATACAGTAAAACTATTATATTATGAACTATATAAACCCAAAATACTTTGTTCTGAAAAAAGTACAAGCTTTTTTTAGCTAGGCTTGGATTGTAGATCGCAGAATGCGATGATGATTCGGGAAAAAGAAAGATGATGCGGGATTTTTCGGGAAAATATCCCACAGCAGGCCCACCAGTGAGGGTTCACCCAAGCTGCCCCTTTTCTTATAAACCAACGCTTCACACTCATTTAGAAGGTCATTTTGGAGTTTCTTCCCAACAGTTCCTGCAAGACCCGTCAGTCTTCAAATCCGATTTTCTTAGGTTTGCTTTTTAAGTCTGTAGTATTCCATGAGGAACCCATAAGAATTCTTACGTGATACCTTATGATTTTCGTAAAGCGCTCCCTGTTGTAATTATTCAGCACTGGATGCGCCCTCCATAGCTTCAGCCTTTTCTCTTCTACTTTATTTCTAAGCTTGGTTCAATTCAGCAAAAGTGCTCCGGCCAAACAAAACAGGAGCTGTCCTCCCCCTTTAGCCAACATATATGCTTCCTTGTTTCCTCTTACGTCAACGTGTCGTGTCACCCAGCACATGGTGACCCAATAATGTCAAGTCCAGTCAAGTTTGCCGAAACGGTCTTATACCATTCGAGAGGAAATCTGACAAAAATCTAGAGCCCCTATGGTAGCCTGAGTGTCGAAAATTATTGTTATACTCGAGAAAATTGCAAAAATGCTGACGAGTTACATGAGTATAGGGTTCGTTGTATACAATTTTTACTGTATATGCATTTTTATCTTAAAATGAGGTCTTAAATATTGATGATATTGATTATGTTGGTGATGATGTTGATTATTATAGTATAATATAATAATAATTTGTATATTTATAGATGGTTGTGATTTTGATCAGTATAAAATGAAATTTGTGTTTATATTAATTTTGGAAAACAAAACAAATTTCAATGAATTTTTTTTTGTTTTTTTTTTTTTTGTTTTTTAACTTAAATAATGCTTTCATTCAATTCGTATCGGTATTATTAAATCTTTATTGTTATTGAAATATCATGGAAATTGAATTGTTTTTTGTGCAATAAATTCATTTTAAATATTATATTTCGTTCAAATGTAGTGTATATGTATTTGTGTATAGAGGATTTGGGTAAAATCAATGAAATATTTTTATGATCATTTAAATGAATTTTCAATATTTTTGCTTTTTAAAAAATAATATTATTTTCTCAGTATAATTTTTTTCTATTATAAACCCATAATATTTAGTTTTTATTATTTAATACTATATATGTATGTAGTATCTACATATATACTTTATTATAATAATAAAAATTTGAAAATTTTCCTAATTTTATTTAAGTACAATAATGCAACGAGGGCCAATTATTTGTTATATTTTTTTTTGTTAGGTTAAACACAAATCTTTTGCATTTGAAAAGTGAATTGTATATAATAGAAATTATGTATAATAAAGTTATAAAATTATTCTATAATAATATATAATATGTATATTTTGTAAATGACATTCCAAGCACCTATGTTTAACATTTTTTGTACTCAATTAGTATATACCATAGGTACACTGTTTTAATAATAGGAAGCATAAAAATTTTTATAGAAGAAAAAAATACCATAAAAATCTTATATATCTTGGAGTATATGTAGAAGATTTGGTATTGAAAATTGATTTATTATTTTTAATATTATAAATTTTTAAAATATTTGGGTAGTGTTTATTAGCACAATAAATAAAATGGAAGAATTGATGTCAAGAAAAGTGAAATTCATTTAAACACAGAAAACAAAAAAATTCATTCTTTTAGTAAAGTTTTTTAAAAATATTTTCATATTGGTACATAACCTAAATTTTTTTAATTATATTCGGTAAACTGAGTCACATATGACCTAAATTTTTAGTATTTATTTTGGAAATTGTGAATAGTTTTCGCACTCTCATGTGTTTTCGTAAAATTCTTTCGTAAAATGTTAACTGCTACATAACCTCAATAAAGTTTAGTCTTTGTAACATCTTTCTTTCGTTAATTTTTATTTAAAATATAAATTAGAACCAAATAATATTTTTGTACTTGATGCCCGCAACTATTGAAAATTTTACAAATCATTTGATTTTGTTTATTGTGCTAATGAGATCGCAGAGAAAAAATGGTTAATTGTGAAAAAAATGGTACAAAATAACAATTGATTGTATTTTATTCGGATGTGTAAAAAATTCAGACGATTTTACAGTTTTGATAAATTTGTGTTTTTTAGTTGATATACTTTTACTTTAATGCGCTATTTTTCCCTATGTTTCGTCAAATATTGTACTCAAAGCACGTGTGAGCGTTGCCTTTGGCACTTTGAAGTAGAACTCTGACATATTAAATTTGAATTATAGAACACCTTTCAACCAAGATTTTCCGCCTTCTCATTACTAATTAGAGAGGGAGAGAAAATACGTCATGTGTTTTTTTTTCGATATGCTACTTGTTCATGAATCCAGTCAAAACAGGGTCGTTTCCTTAATTTCTTTAGCACAATACATTTATTCTTTGGTTTTAATGAAGGAATTATATTATGGACTTATAATATTAATAAGGTGTACCATATTAAGTTTATTATCTATATAAGTTTGCAACCACAAAACCTATTACAATTTATTATTTAAACAAAATTATTGTTACTGTAATTACCTTGGAAAGACAAAAGGAAGTGAATTTTGTTTAAGGAAGTGGCGATATTTAAAATTAAAATAAAAAAAGGCTATAAAGTTCAATTAAAAATTAATTATTTTTCATTATTTACAATAATTAATTTAACCTAAATTAAATATTTTTAATTTTTTGGACATTTTAAGGTCATATACTAAACTTTTCAGAATGTTTATCAAGCAGCTTGATTAAGTTGTTTTCGATTATTATAATTTATAATTTAAATATTTTAAATATTAAATTAAATATTGAATTTAACTAGACTGTTGGAAATATATTAAGTAAGGGCATTTATTATATTTCAATTATTGCTTATTATATAACAATTTTATTATTATTTAATTGAAATTTATTGTTTTTTATTTTTAATATAAAAAGTAAGGTTCAATGTATTCAAAAATTTAAAATTACACTTTAATTTTATAATTGGTGTTTTTCAGTTAAATCAACTTTATAAAAATGTGTGTAATACCCACACTGAAAAAGTAGTTACTACTCTTTAATATTTAAAGAGTATTATGAATTTATCACTCAGTTTGCAATGCTTCTAATGTAATAAAGAAATATACGAATTGTGAGTAAATATGCCTGTTCGTTAGTCTGTTTTAGTCATAACATAAAACTATATTGAGCAACATATTTCGAAAAATAAAAAAGCTACAGTGTTTATATTTTGGATAAACCACAAGTGATGGTAAGAGCACTATTTCGATTACCATCGTTCAGATTTAAAATTTTAGTATGAAGACAATTATTGTCCGGAAAAAAATTGTTTGGATTGTATAAGGCAGTAAATTTCTTCAAAGTATTTTCCGCCAAACTACAATGTTCAAAATTGACACAAAAAAGATGGGTAACTTGAGTATATTTTTTAGAAAAGCTGATTGTGGGATCGGTGTTAGTTTAAATGAAAGGCGATAAGGTGCTTTTTTTTCGGCTATCTTCGAAAATATTCGTGTCGTTTTATCTTAGAATTCACTTTTACAACCCTATTTCTTCTTGTTTTTAATGAATTTGTTATTCTTTGAATTAAAATTCTTTGTAAAGTAAAAACTTTTATTCTTGTTATAGTTTGATTAATTTCATCTTTCTCTAATAGTTTGATTTTAAAGAGATTTAAAGTAATTAAAGCGTTTGAGAAAAAAAAAATTAAAATTTACTTTCAAAAATAAATTAAAAATTTAAATTAAAGTTCATGAACCTAAATCTTTCTTAAAATTGATTAAATTAATGGTTATTCTAAAATAATAAAATTATTTGTTAGGTGATTTAAAGGTGAATTTTAAAAAAAAAAAAATTCATTTAACTTACCGAAGCAACAACAATTAACTGATATTGTTGTATTCGTTCATAATCTAAATTTTTAGCTAAAGTAACCTGTAACAATAAGAAAACAAAAAAAAAAATTATAATTGAATTTATTATTCAATTTTTTATTAAATATCTAATAGACATTAATATACATAGCTGCCACATATATGTATATACAATGTATAAATTATTTTTTATACAAAATTTTGAATTCACTCACCTGTCCTTGATGTGGAAAAGAAATTTCAAATGTTCCATATCCATCAGCAACATTTAATTTATCATTTTGTGTTATGTTGCCAGTCGATGGCATAATAAAATATTCAACTAAACCGTTAACGCCAGCATCTTTATCTAATGCTTGAATTTTACGAAATATTGTTGTACCAATTGGTGTTGACTGTAATTTAAGAAAAAAAAAATAATAAAGTGAAAAAATTAAAATCATGAATTACATGTTATTATGCATACATTATTAGGCTTTATTTAGGTTTTAGTTTTTTTTTTATATAAAAATTGGGTGTGGAATTATTTTGCTTACAAAAAAAAAATTTTTCATTGAAAATAAAAATAATGTTAAAATTCGTTTTTTTTTTTTTTGATTTGATTGTTACAAATTCTTAATATTTATGGTTTCCGATAATTTTTTAAAAAGCAATTAGCATAGAATTCAATCAAATACAATTTGATCAAGTGTACCAACATACATACATACATTGTATGCAAGTACTCGTGTACATATGTGTGGTGTGTAAATAATTAGGATCAAAACAATAAAAACTTGAAAAATTTTATAGAATTTTATGCAAATTTTTTAAATTGCACTTTTAATATTTTTTTTTTTTGTTGTGGTTAATTGATTATTCATTACAAAAGATTATTACGAAATATAATAGGCATTTAAAATTTATAATTCACCGTACACGCAAGTGTAAATGTGATTTTTTTATTTTCAAAATTAATTTTATGCCCATATTAAAGAAAATTTTAATTGATCTCAGTTTAATTTTTTTTATTTTTGTAGAACAATTGGTTTACTATAAAAATATTTTTTAATAGAATGCTATTTTTTTTTGTTAAAACAATTTATTTTGCTTAGCAATGACAATTTTTTAGACTATAATGATAACAATGTTGTGCTTTTTTTACAAATAGTAAATTAAATTGAATGACTTATCTGTCACATAGATTTTTTGCGGACAATTTATAAACTATCTTGTCCTAAATTGTACAGTATTTGGCTTTTATCTGGTCAAATATTTTACTAGTTGGATCTGAATTTTTTTTTCCTTTAAATTATTATGTATGGGGGTAATTACCCATACCCGTGGGTAATTGTGTGAAAATGAAGAATTTTGTAAAACGCTTATATTTTCGTTTAGGTTAAAATTATTCACACTATAAAATGCTAGATTAAAGATTAAACTACCGTAATCACCCGTAATAGGCCGAAATGTTTTTCAGGAAAGCTAGTATTGACTATATTCCTTTAAGTGCGCCACCTTCGTCCATAACAATTTTTTATGAAAATAAGAAGTCAAAATTCCGACTGTATGGCTTAGATTATGCTTTTTAATCAAGTAAATATTTTATTTAAGAACAATCGCATATATATAAAAATTTTATAAAATATGTTGACAATTTTTAAAATCTTCAATTTATCAAATATTTTAAACTAAAGACAACTTCCTTTAATTATAAAAAGACAATTTCTTTGCTGTACTAGAACAATAAATGAGCTGTCTTTTTCGAATTAAAAGGAAGTTTAATTCAATAAGAGAATTAGCTTTGAGTTCATAATAGTTTTAGAATATATATTATTATGATTCAACCCAGCAAAAAACTCTGGCGGCGATCACACATACGATTTACGCGTTTTTTAATTGTTTTGAAGTTAATAATGTCAATTTTGACAAAATGAACTGTCAATTCAAAGTAACTGATTACTCAATTAATGCAATATACTCAATATAAACGTAATTCAGTAAAGATTTAATATGAAAGCTGATTTATTGTCCAATTAAAGTTTGTATATAAGATTTACTTAAAAATATGTAACTTTTACTGTAATAATAATTCCAAAATCAGTTAAAAAACATACAAATTTTAAAATTAAATAACAAACCAAACAAATAATGTGAAATATTTAAAATAAAAAAATGAAAAATCCCACGTTCAAATATTAACCATAAACTAATTTAATTTTGGATTTATGTATTTTTCTTATAACTTATTAGATCTATACAAGTACATTAAATATTTAAAGGGCATTTACTTATTTACAATTTAAAGAGGTGTTTTTATATACACTTAATTTATATTTTGAAAAAAAAAAACACAATTTACATAAAAGAGATGATTAAAATATTAAAATAATATTATTGTCAGATCAATTTACCCACGAAATATTTTAATAATAATATTTTAAATCTATAATAATTGTGTTACTTTTATGGACTGAAAAATTTTTTTAAAATAAAATGAATATTATAAAATTTAGGGTAAAATGAGTAACAAATCGAATTCATCTTATATTTTGAAATTTATGTAATTTACAATATGTCAAAAAGAAAACATAAATTTTCATGTTTAATATTTTTTTCGTTACATACGTATTGGTTAATGGTTGAACTCAAGCCAATTTAATGAGGTTATTTCCAAATGGGTAGCACTTTGTTTGGTTTAGAAAAGAAAGGTAGTTGTCAAAAAATGAACATAAAGGAGATGAGAAACAAACATGTGGTGTAAAATCAAAAACACGTCTTTGTTAGAGTATGAAAAAGCATTAAGTTCTAAATTAGAACTTAACCATAGATCAAAAAAAGTTGCAAAATTTTCAAATTTGTCTAAATTATAAAATTTGCTGCAAGTTTGGTACTGGAATAAACCTAAATTTTCAAAAATAACCTATCGGTCTGTCTATCCATGTGTCTGTTTCTAAAATTTCTACAACTTTTAAGAGAGAAAGCTGAAATTTTATATATTAATAGATTTTTACCAGGAACTTACTTTTCAAGAAAAAAACTTTTTTGCCATTATATTTTCTTAACCTTTTGGTAAGTTAATCCTTGAATTCGATCGTTATTTTAATGCCTCTTTCATTTTTGTTTTGTCTCATCCTAAATGTATGCAATCATTTGATATAATTTGATATTCGAATGAATGCAATTTAAATAATGTAATAAATTGTTTGCTGTCAACAGCATTATTTTCATATGTTGAAGGGAAAAATGCTCCTTTATAAATCATTGGTTTGACCCAAGTTTATTTTAAATACAGATTTGCATTACACTTAAGATGATAAAATGTCTATTTTATGTTATAAAATTTGCTAATTTTAAAATAATTTAAAATAAATTTTGAATAATATTTTTACATAAAATTGATTGATTATAAAGAATTATATAATGCATGTTTCTCTTTAGTTCTCTACAAAATAAACAATCTATTATTATTCTTTTTACAAATTCATAAAGGAGCGGCATCCTTTTAAGATGAATGAGCGTAATTTTTATAGAAGAAAGAGAACAAAAAAAAAGATAACAACGATTTGATTTTTTCTTTTTCATTTTATTTTTTTTTTATAACATTTATGAATAATGCAAAATCACTAATAAAGCGTGAAAGCTTATTAATCATAAAAGTAAACAATAATAACAATAATGAACAAGTAAAGAAAGAAATAGAAAAAAAATTAAGTAGCACAACAATCTCTCGCAACATTTTTATTCCTATAAAATATTTTCTTATAAATAAAAACAAAATCAAGCAACAATCAATCTTTTGATTCAAACAAACAAACAAACTATTAAAAATTTGTACCAAGGTGAATTTTATACAATAATCAAATAAATGTAAAAAAATTAATAAAGAATAATAAAGAAATAAATAAGTAAAAAAATAATAAAAAATATGTAATAGCAAAATCATGAAATTGAAATTAACAAACTATACAGAGTTAAAAAAAAATAAAATAAAAAATTGTAATAATTGAATGGCACTGGATAATCTATGAAGTTGAAATAACTGTATAATTTGTACATTTGTTCAAAAATCAAAATATATAAAATGAAAAAGAATAAAATTTGTATAAAAATTTGTACAATTCTCTATACAGTGAACTGACAATCTCTAGCGAATTAACGTAGTCTCTATTGAATAGAAATATTTTTTCTTTTTTATTAAATTACCTTGGCAATGGAATGCATAATAATGGTAATTATTTAAAATTATTTGAAATTTTCGTATCATAAAATAATGTCGGGCATATATTTTAATATACTATATTAATTAAATATTTATTTAGGCGAAGTTTATTAAAATTTTGTATTGTACATGGTAAATTGTAGGTATTTTAAAATTTATAATATGAATTTTTAATATGAATATTAGAAACATTGGCTTACTTAAATGACATTCAATAATTTTATGTCAATTAAATCTAATAAAAATCAGAACTATTCGTGAATTTTATATAATACTTACATATAAGAAGAATAATGTTTCCACATGAAATTTATATATAGCCTCCAATATAAATTGTTAGAATTTCAGGACTTTATAAGATAGACTATGAGATAGACTAATTATAAGATATTAGATACTTTAAGTTGTCGTATTAACATATTAATTTATGCAAAATTTTAAAAAATGATATGACCCAAATTGAAGTTGTATGGCGAACTAGTGCTTCGATCATACTCAATTTAAATAGAGTTTGTAAAAATTTGTTGAACTTAGCTCAATTAGTTAATTGGAGTTATTGTTCGGGCGGACGGACAGACATACAAAGCTAAATCGACTCAGAATTCGACGCAGATCAAAAACATAAACTTGAGACTATATCACAGACCATTACTCCTTAGCGTTATAAACGGTAAGGCAAATTTAGTATAATCTTCCAAAATATTTTCGTACGGGTATAAAATCGAAGAACAATTTTACATTGCAGAGTTGACTTTTTTAATAGCATTTTTACAAAAACTGTAAGTCTCGCCAAATTTTTTTTTGGTCAGTTTAAATGATTTACATAATTTTTGAGTTTTTTTCGGTCCCAAAGGCAGCCTGTTAGTAAATTTGACTTCCAAATTGATTGAAACTTTTCTTTACTCTTTGCACGTAAACTATATCATGCTTGCAACTTTCCAAGGGTTTTAATAGCTAAACTGGCATGAGAATGTGTTCTAACAAAAATTAAAGAGATCGACATTATCTTTACAACGACGTGTACATAATAGATATTATAAAGTGTCCAGCTTTTTTCGGATCCTTTCAGGCCAATTTTCGGATTACGGAAGTTGGATAGAAGACAAATCTTGGGTTTTGAGATTAATTTAATAAACATGCATTTTCAAATTTCAGAATAATTATCGGGATAAATTTTGATAAACATATTATGAT